AGTAGTTTGGATCTGTAATCATCTTAGCACCCTCCTGATCTTTAATAGGCGGTAGCTCGATTTTGTCATTGGCGAGGAGGTATTCCAATATGGCCGGAGCTTCATCGTCTTCGAAAGAATACTCCTTTTGGAACCTCGGATCGAGAGTTGCATTCATAGGAATTGTGGATGTCGTTGGTTGACTTCTCTCAACTTTCTTTCTTTTAAGAAAGTGTTCAGCTTGTTCACCACGTAGTTTTAACTCTTTCCAAGTGGTGGATGGTACGACCCCCAGAGCTTCCAGGACATCGATGGAGAGGTTATTGTGGCATGTTTGCAGGATGAACTCCTCTGTAACAGGATCCCTGCAATTTATTGCCATGTTACGGAAGCACTTGACAAAATTGTCCACTGACTCTTCATCTTTTTGCTTCTCATCCAAAAGGGTTCCGATTGACACTTCGGCGTCATCATCGAAGAAATTGCTGAGGAACAAACTTTCCATGTCATCCCAACAATTGATGCTCCCTGGCTTGAGCCGTCGGTACCAATCGAAGGCGGGCCCACGAAGGGTGCCAACGAATGACCGGACCATTAAAGCCTCGTTTCCAGAGATCATGCCCAAATGAGACTTGAAATAAATCAAATGCTGAATCGGCGAACTCTTCCCCTCAAACGGTGTGAAGTTAATCAGATTGAACTTCGTCGGGTACGGTATTGAATCTCATTCCCTTGGATAGGGACATGGAATACCCGTCTTCTTAACTTCTTGAGCCGTCATCAAAGCGTTGATTTTGTTTTCAAGCACTTTCATTTTCCCTTTATCGTCTATGTCTTCATTCGAAGGACGTTAAGGAGAATAAGTTAGACCACCCCCTGTGAGAGGTGCTATTGAACCACCCCCAATCTCGTTATTAGGAGAATCCGTTAGACCACCCCCAGCGTTATTGCTATTGGGAGGTGTATCAGCCATAATGATTTCATCCACTTCTGGATCACTGTCATCTATAACATTCTGAGTGTGGCGGCTGGATTCAGCTCGCTGACTGGACTCAGGAGGTTGAGGTTGTTGAGTTAGCAACTCTCTCATTTGTTGAATAGCTAACTCCATCTCTGTCCTCATTTCAGCTCTAATTTCTTCACGTTGCTTCGTTAGAGCTTCTTGAAGCATTTGAGCAAATTGATCAGAGGTGATCGTGAGTACTTCTCTGGTTTGTCCCGTGCTAGACATTGTATCATCAGAAGCGATTGCAGAATAAGTGTCCGAGAATTCATCCTCCGAGGACATTCCTTCTTGCATTCTTTTGTAATCTCTGCGTCTGATGGCTCCTAATTGGAGTCGAGACATCCTTTGAGCAATTCTTGGATTGACTTTTCCTCTCGGGAAAAAGTCGGGATTTGAGTCATTTGAATGCCGCTTAGACTTTTTTTTATCAGCCACGTTGATGGTGACTTCAGAGAATTCATCATCTTGGGCAGCTGATTTTCTTTTGCGGAAATGTCTCGGCTTAGGCTTCGACGATACAGAGACTCTTCGTGGGATGGCTTCTCGTTTGAAACAGTCACATTCTGATAATGCTGCTTTAACGAGTCGCGCACAGGAACAATAAGAGTTTATTCCTCGAATAACTCTCTTTTGAAAATTATTCACAATCCCAACTTGATAATACGATTCATCGGTATAATTGCCAAAAAATCGTATTGTCTGTTGGCATGACCTCCCAGGTATGACGATATCATTTGGTGAATACGTCTTCTTCTGGGGGTGTAAAACCTTGTTGGCATTCTCAGGACAATTTATTTTTGTCTTTGAGCGATCCAAGGTTATGTCGGGAGTCGCACGTTTAAAACCACCCCCTTGCGGGTATGGAGTCTTAACGGGCTCCGAATGCTGATTTTGCATAAGTCCAGACTTTGGAATCCAAACTTGGCAGAGTTTCGTTGGTTCTTTAATCACCGTTTTCTTCTTCCTTTCTCGTCTTTGTTGTAAGAGAGCACGGGCATGAGCAGCATTTGTGTTTGTTGGAAAATTTGCAGTAAAAAGACATGAAGGAAAATTGATTTGTATTCCTTTAATCTCAGTTACAATTGGAATTCCTGGTTACAAAAGAGAAGAGAATGATCTGGATTCTCCCCTTTGTTTAATTCTGGGTTCTTCTTGGTAGCGATGAGATGCCTCCCTCGAATGCTCGCGTCGAGTTTGCTTCTCGTTGACGATCTGATGTCTTGTTTCACTGGAATGTGGTCTTCTCCTCACGATTTGACGTTGTGGAGAACTTGCGTGGCAAGTTTTAGAACTCTGAATGAGTTTGTTTGATCTTAACCGTAATTGGTTAGACAAGCCAAAGATCTCTTCTCTTCTGTTAAGGAGAAGGATCCAAAAGCCAGCCCGAGATCTCTTCTTTGCTGCCCAAAAAGAAGGATCTAAACTAAGTTGATTTCTTAGTTATTTATAGGGGATTAAGGGGTGTAACCGCCCCCTTAATTCGCTCCTAAGTGGGGCTAATGGGATGTAACCGCCCCTTAAATCACTCCTGAGTGGAGTTATGATCCCCTCAGATCGTGGGAAACGGTTTTGAAACTGTTCAGCTCGTGTTTGAACGAGTCAAACGCAAAATCGAAAGCTGCGTTTGGCAGCAGATGGCAGCTGCGTTTGGCAGCGCTTGGAGCTGTGTTGAGCAGCAGATGGCAGCTGCGTTGAGCAGCAGATGGCAGCTGCGTTTGGCAGCGCTTGGAGCTGCGTTGAGCTGCGTTTGGTAGCTTGGAAGCTGCGTTTGGCAGCAGATGGCAGCTGCGTTTGAGCTGCTTTTGCAACTTTTGGAGCTATGTTTGCGCTGCGTTCGTGGCTATGAACACGGTGCGTCTTGATGCTGGTGTGAGGGGAGGACTTCCGCAGTTTGATTTGAAGAGACCGTCGATTTGTAGTCTCTTTCTGTTGAAGCGTTGCAAAGATCGTCATTTTGTAATCTTTGCTTTAGCTCTCTGATATGTGAGAGTCGTCAGATTGTAACTCCCGATGTTGATTATGAAGGCTGTTTGATTAGAGCTTCCATCAGTTGTCGTGAAGGTCGTCAGATTGTAACCTTCAGCGATCTACGTGAAAGTCTTCAAATTGTAGCCTTCTGGAAGTCGTCAGATTGTAACTTCCATCATCGGTGTTTTGATGGGGATCAGCTATCTATTGTGATTTTTTTGACAGCCTACAATTTGCACGACGTTTTTGTATACGTTCTTTGAGGGTCGAACTAGTCCTTTTGACAATAGTCCATTCCTCCGTCGTGAGCTTAGCAGAGACATGAATGATTGGTCATTGAGACAACTGAACCACTCGATGCCTCCTCGACTCTAAGTCCGCATGATAACGAACTCCGTCGGTTTGTTCCAAGGCCTTAGCTATTTGACGAGCGCGGCGCTGACGTTGTCTCTGACGAGCCCTCTTCGTCAGTGCCGGTGGGCTTTGATTCGATGACTCTTTAACTAGATAAGAGCCATTGTGAGCAGAGGTGTTGCTAGTAAAATCCTCAGCAACAATCAAGCGAGAGTCTTCATTTTGTGCCTTCTTTGGCATATAAATCTTCCTTAATTATGAGATCCTCTTGTACTTGCGAGACAAAGAAGATCTTGAAGAGGATGATGAGAGATATTCCTCAAACTTGGTTTGGTCGAATTCGTATTCGACCATGGATTCAACTGGAATCTTGATCGGCTGCGACACGACGGTCTCGGCAGCGAGACCGTTGGCTCCCTCTGTGGTCGCCAGCTTGTTTGAGTCGAAAGTTGTTCTTGTTATGGAATTTATTATATCTTCGGTCGATTACAACAAATTCAAAGAAATAGTGTTTTTATAAGACTTCTTTTACACAACAAAATGAAAATTACAACTCTTGAGAAACAAACGCAGGATCGTTGTTTGGATCACTGCTTGCGTGGGATCTTTGCCTGTGGGACCACCAAATCACAGATTCTGATTGAACCGTGAGGGGTTTAATGATTCTTTCTTCGTTTATCGAAGTAAGAATTTGAAGCGAATATCTTATCGATGTAAGATGTTCACTCTTCCAAAGATCAAGTCTGAGCTTAGATCTCTAGGACTCGCCAAAAGCTTCTTGAGGATGTTTGTGAAGAAGGAAGACTCTCTTTCTTGCTCTAATTCACCAAAACTCACGGCTCTCTGCTCTGGAAATGCTCCGCCTCCGTCAATGATGGCCATAGGGGGGTATTTATAGCCTCCTTAGACGATAACTGAAGAAATAGCCGATCAACAACTGCCTCTTTAGGCGCGGCAGTTGATGCTGTCGCGGCTAAAGGGCGCGACAGTCGACACTGTCGCGGCTAAAGGGGCAGTTACACCCACGTTCATTTGTGTTTGAAATTGTTCTCCCACGACCTTTAACCACCTTTTTCGTGGTTTAACTGTTTGTCCACGTCAGCACACGTTCTATCTCTGATATGCTGCCACGTGAGCTTCAATAATCATCACATAACTGCATTGTAACCGCCGCAGCACCCCCTATAATAGCCACGACACCATGAGTTGCCGCGCCTAAGCCGCGGCACTATGGGCTGTCGCGCCTTAGCCGCGGCACCATGAGCTGTCGCGCCTTAGTCGCGGCACCATGTACTGTCGCGTCCACACGCTATAGTTTGCATTGTTCTGTGAATTCATATTGTTTTGTGTTGATTCATAGATCCTTTTGCTTCCTTTGGGCTTGTATGATCTCCCATGACTTAGATACTGATGTTTATCACCTTCTCTTTATCTTGAGTGGTATTTGGATGTCTGTAAGCATTTTTTGACGTCTACAGCAAGCCATCACAATATGCAAACAAGCTCATATAACCAGCATTAGGCAACCACGAGTGTTGTATAAGTGGCCTATGAGACCATATAAGCTCTATGAGAAACTAGTTTATGACAAGTTAACATTTCACCTTATATCACCAGACAAAAGCATGTCTTTTGAGAGCATATAATACAATAAGACATATCTTTAGTGGGCATATAATAAATAAATACAAACATCGAAGTAAAACAGTATACCCATATGCAAAAGGAGCATAAAATGGAGGTGGCATGTAAGGCCTTCGTGATTGAAAGCCCATGTATGGGCTTGCTCGACGACCCCGGTACTGTTTCATTCCTGGTACATTGGTCCTTTTAGCTGACACCTGCACCACAACCAAATCAGTTGGATGTTTACATTGTAAAGTTTAACCTAATCAAATTGATGCAAACCTTTAGCTGACGACCATGCAATTCCGATTCATTCAACGGCAGAGCATTCTGAACAGCCTCTACTTCAACAAATTCCACATATGCAAATCCCTTGGGCTGACCAAACTTGTCTGTTAAAATTGTTACTCTGTTTACAGTCCCACAAGACTGAAAATGTTGTTGCACTTCCTCAGGAGTGCAGGCATAGTCCACCTAACAATCGGTATGAGAAGTATAATTCATAATACTCATAAGATTGATTAAAATAAAAGGGATACTACCAAAAAGAAAGAAAATTTGCTTCACTAGTTAAGACTGTTCTACTGCTAACATTTCACTAAGATGCATGCTACCAAATACCTCCATCTGTCATCTTACATCTTCAAAAGAATATGAGCAATAAGCAGTGCATCCATTAAAAATGGGATGTGACTACGAAACTGTATACTGGTAGTCACAATATAACAAGAACGTCAACTTATCCAGCACTAAGCAATCAAAAATTTACATATTCTTTCCTTATACCGATCATGTAATACATAAATTTCAAATAAGACTTCTTGCTAGATAAATGTAGGAGTGAAGTAAGAGATGCAAGCATTACTGTAAACTGCAAAACACTGAAAAGAGAGGATGGCTTGAAGAACCTCACATTACCAACATAGATCGATCTCGAATCCACCTCCTCCTTTTCAGCTTGGCTTGCAGCACCACGGGAAATGAATTTCTGAAAGTAGTGAAAGCACACCAGAAAATGTTAACCAAGGAGCAAACATATGCTTCCAATAAGAGACTTGTAAGAGCACACAATCAACAAAGCACGCACAATGACGTAAGGTATACAAGAACTGAACTACAGGGTAGCTTTTCTCGAAATAACATACAGTGCTACCAAAACCCTAATCGCCTGACAAAGCGGGCTACGGGCAAAAACCTAGAAACGAGAAACAGTAGGGAGGGGGGAAAAACCAAACTTGAAACAGCAGACATCCATCCTTCTCGGACTTGAGCATGCATCTCTTCGCACGGCTCGCACAGGCTTCCTCTCGATCTCCTCAACCCATCCTACTTCATCAACAGTCCAAAGTCATACTCCAACAAGATACCTCTCAGTCTTTTCTAACTAAAAAATGCAAATTCTAATGGTTTCGGGGCTACCTCTTTAGATGATCTGGGGATCTGGTCAATCGACAATATCGCGGCGGCCATCTCGTCGTTGCCTCCCTCTCCCCTTCTTCTTCTTTCTGTCGGAGAGGACAGGATGGGCGAGTTGGGTGACTGCGAGAGGAGGAGGACTGCGAGGCGGCGACGCGGCGGGCGAGGAGCGGAGAATGGAGGGAGTGGAGAATGGGAGAGGGGCGGCGACACACGCGGGTGAGGGTTGGCGGCGGTTGTGGTGCCGACGAAGAGAAAGGGGAGGGAGAGAGGGGGGAGGGGGGGAATGAGGAGAGGGGGGAAATGAGATAAGGATTTGGGGGAAATCCCTCTGTCGGGCGCGGGATGCCCAATTTTTTTGGGCAAGCCCGCACCCTAAATTTTTCTTTTTCTTTTATTTTTTAGCGACGGAATTTCCGTCGCCAAAAGTTATTTTAGCTACGGAATTTTCATCGCTAAAAGTAGTTTTAGCTACGGAATTTCCGTCACTAAAATTTATTAGCAACGGAATTTTCGTCGCCAATAATAACAACTCCGTCGGTATAAGTGTATTGCCGACGGAACTATAGCGACGGAAATTTTCGTCGCTATAAGTGGCCTTATAGCGACGGAAATCCGTAGTTAATACTTATATTTCTAGTAGTGAGAGATTCCACTTTGTATTTCTTATAATTAGTAAATCTTTTCTCCTCCTTCACCCGTGGACGTAAGCTACAAGACGAACCACGTATATCTTTGTGTTCGTGTGTTCTTGATATTTTTCGTGCTCTCGTGTGATTGATATTAGCTTATCCTGGGGAGTTTGTCATAACAAATTGGTATTAGAGCCCTCAGCTACAAAAGGCTCTCTTGTGGTTATGAAATAAAAGAAGACTGATAGCTTGTATGTTTTACAGGGTTCTACCGTTACCGGCTCGGCTACAGTTGCATCGTCGATGTTAGGAGTTGATACTACCAGATTATGACATATGAGACTTGGTCATTATAGGGTCCCAAAAGAGACGAGACGATTGATTCTTCAACTGTTTGGTCGTAAGAATAGATTCTATCACTTGGTAAGAATCTTTTTACAATCGTTCTTTTTCAAGTACAGAAGATGAGAAGATTGATTCAACTTCTCCTTTGTTTAACGTGGATTTGATGTGGCGATGAGATGCCTCACATGATGCTCATGTTGATCTTACTTCTCGTTGACGATCGGAGCAAGATTACTTCTAACCCGAGGAGGAAATTAGCCTCTTGATGAGTGCTTTAGCTGCTTGTGTCTGTTATTGCTTCTTGATGTGCACACGTTTGATCTTTTGGGCCTCAAAACTCGATGCCTAGGGTCTCCAAAAGTGCCCTCTTTCATAGTTGTTCATAACTATTTATAGACACTCAGTACGTAACTGACGCTGAGATCATGGGATCAAGAGCGTAACTGACTCCTTAGATTTAGCATGCGTGGGATGACTGAGTCTTCGTGGTCGTTAGCCTCCTGGTGTTGAGCCTCATTTGATGAGACGAGCATCGCCGTGTGGCACGGTTCGTCTGATGAGACGAGCCTCAATGCATAACGAGGTTCGTCTAACAAGATGAGCCTTAATGTGTAATGGGATTTGTTTGACAAGGCGAGTTTCGCTACTGTAGGGAGCTTCGTCTTTGATGGTCGAACCTCCTTGCGTAGTGAGCCTCGTCTTCTGGGGTGAGTCTTGCTGCTTGGCGAGGTTCGTCTCTGGATGAACTTCGTCTGACGAACTTCGTCTTCTAATGGGCTTCATTTTCTATAGGAGCTTCATCTCCAATGATGAGCTTCGTCTTCAATGACGAGCTTCATTTTTTGAAGAAGCTTTTTCTCCTAAATGATAAAGCATTGAGAGCCTTGTCCCTAGGCGAACTTCGTCTCCAATGACGAACTTTGTCTTTTGAGGGGTGAGGCGTTGTGAGTCTCGTCTTAGCTGAGACGACCCTCATTGATAGAGACGAGGTTCGTCATTGTGACGACCCTCGTCATGCTTGTAGTGAGCTTCAACACTCCTTTGTCCCTTGGTAATTTTAAGTACCTACGGACATATGAGTGAGCGCGGATTGACCGAGTTGAGTAAGAAGAGTCTTTTATGTGGACAGAGTACAAGAATATTTGGATTCTGCGAGAATTGCATCTTTTGGAAGCAGAAAAGAGTCAGCTTTAGTACGGTAGTGCATCAGACTAAAGGTACTTAGGATTATATCCATTTAGATCTTTGAGGACCTTCTCAAGTTGCCTCGAGGGGTGGTAGTTTCAGATATTTGTTGACCTTCATTGATAACTACTCTAAAAAGATTTGGGTCTACTTTTTGAGACATAAAGATGAGGTGTTTGTGACTTTCAAGTAGTGGAAGTATTTAATTGAGAAGCAGACTGGGAGGTTGATTAAGAGGCTTAGAACTGATAATGACCTTGAGTTTTATGGAGGAGAATTTAATGAGTTCCGCAAGAAGGAGGGAATCATTAGACATCATACAGTCCCTCACATGTCGCAACAGAATAGAGTGACAGAACGCATGAACAGAACCCTATTAGAGAAAGTACATTATATGATGTTCAATGTAGGTTTAGGTAAGGAATACTGGGCGGAAGCAGTGAATACTGCTTGTTACTTAGTGAATCGATCGCCATCTACTGTTATTAGTTATAAAACTCCATAGGAGGTTTGGTCCGGTAAGCCTGCGGATTATTCTAATCTTAGAATATTTGGTTGTCCTATATATGCACATATTAGTCAAGGGAAACTTGAGCCACGAGCGAAGAAGTCTATATTCCTAGGTTATGTATCTGGTGTTAAGGATTTTAGGTTGTGGTGTCCTGATCCTAAGTCTTCTAAGATCAATATTAGTTGTGATGTTACTTTTGATGAATCTGCTATGTTCCACCAAAAACGATCATCGATTTTAGTTATTGATAAGGCGCGCACTACAAAACATAAGGTGGAGTTAGAAATTCATGATTCAGCTCTTCAGCAGCAGCCGGATCCCATTCAAGTAGATGAAGCATCTTAGAAGCTACAGGAAGAGCCAAAATACACAATTGCCAGAGATCGGTCTAGACTAGATATCTGACCACTGTGAAGATATGAAAATACGGTAGCTTATGCATTATCGGTTGACAATTTTGTGCCCTTCAGCTATTCAGGTGCTACTTCAGGTGATGACTTCACTAATATTTACAGTCGTCGTGCGGACAATTCAGTCAATTTGTTGAGGAGGCCCCTTTCAGTTAGCAAGTTCAAGCGTGGCTTGGACTTGATCGATACGTGTCACACTTAGATGCCCCACGGGGCTATTGGAGAAGGTGGAGTAAGTTAGCTTATTTTGAAGTGAGGAATTTTTTACACATTTGAGTCAAGGTCGAGATTTGTTATAGGTTGTCTCAAATACTCAAATCCATATTGCTTTGGGAGTTCTTTTTTAGCTTGGTTTGTTTTGATCAAGAGTTCTACTTACATTAGAGTTTGCACAACCAATCATATTAGATGTTTATTCCTACTTGGACTCTTGTTGGGTTTTAGGACATGTTGACTTCTATTCCTATTAGAACTATTATTCCTTAATTAGACAGCAATGAGTTGGGATATTCAAGGCTATATAAGAATAGCCTTTCAAGCCAATTAGATGCATCAATCTTTAGAGCACTAATCAAGAAAAGAGAGTTCTTTTGTGAAGCCTATTTGATATTCTTCTCTTTTGTTCCTTTAGTTGAGAGTTGTATTAGGCTTTTGGGGTGTTATTTGGGATTGAGAGATTGAGAGATTCCATTTTGTATTCCTCACAATTAGTAAAGCTTTTCTCCTCCTTCGCTCGTGGACGTAGGCTACAAGTCGAACCACATATATCTTTGTGTTTGTGTGTTCTTAATATTTTTCGTGCTTTCGTGTGATTGATATTAGCTTATCCTGAGGAGTTTGTCATAACAGCCAGAAATTTAGGTTTCATGATATATATTTGGACAAATTTTTGAATACAACTCTTTTCTAAAATTAATGAGCAAAATCGACCTTCACAAGAAAAAAAAAGAGCAAAATCAACCCTTTTCATCTCAACTCAGATGAAAAGGGTCGGTTTTGCTGAGGATTTTTTCGAACTACACGAGACTAGTAGTCCTGTGCAGTTAAGGCGATGAAAAAAATGATCATGGGCGACCGACCATTGGACCCTTCAAGATAGCAACGACATTTTTGAGGTCAGAGAGAAGAAGAAAAAGGAGGAGGCGGCCGATTGGGAACTGGGGGTTAGGGTTTTGGTGCCAGCTCCATTGGGTTCAAGATTAGGGTTTGGGGGATTGCCTCCTTCAGTAAACTCCCCTCCCCCTCCTCTCCCGCGATCTGTATCGGCGTCGACGGTTCCGCTATGATTGTAGTCGAACTGCTTGAAGATCGAGTCGTAGAGAGCGGTGAGTTGATCCGGGAGGTGACGACCTCGACACCAAAGTGGACTTCGAGCAGGCGGAAGGTCTCAACGGACTTCCGGAGCTCGGAGCGGGAGAGGACGCCGTCGCCGTTGAGGTCGAGGGCGGCGAAGCGGGCATCGACGTTCTTCTTGAAGGCGATCTCGTCGGCGATGAATGCGCGGATTGTGGATCCGTCGACGATGATTACTCCCATTGTGGTTTTTTTATTGCCGTTTGGAATTTGGGAATTTTATTCAGCTTACCATGGCCATGGGAGTTGTGTCCTGTTACATTTTGTTGCGCCCAACCAGAGAGAAGAATCACAGACCTTATGATTTTTTTCATCACCTTAACTGCACGGGACTAGTAGTCCCGTGCGGTAGATTTTGCTGTTTTTTTATTTAGAAGGTCGATTTTGCTCATTAATTTTAGAAAAGAGTTGTTTCAAAAATTTGTCCTATATATTTTGGATTTAGTTACATTATCGTCAAATTTATACGACCATTTATTTGGTTTTCTAAGCACGTTAAATGATGAACTATTCCTTATGCGTTTCAAAATGTTTTGCATTATAGCGCATGATATGAGATAAGGTAGAAATGGGAATAGATTGGCAAATCATCATTTAAGAAAATGAATTGCCGTTTTGAGGCTCTGCTAGTCACATCGGTGTAGAGCTTAGGAGGTAAGTGGCTAAGCAGTCCATTTCCTAAAGGAGGCTGCCTATAACCGGTGCGCCCTACGAGGCAGATATGTGGTGCCAGCTAACGTGTAAAATGACAGACTACTGCTTGATGTCATATATTTGGCTGTTGACGTTTACGAAAACTAAAGTTCAATTTCAATGTACTAATAAGTGAGATCAATTTGAATTAGATTAAATTTTGATGATGGAGACTTTGCAGCGGACGTTCGGGAGCCTTAACCTAGCATGCAATTGCAATCAAGTTGGCGTCTCCAATTTTACCTCGTGGCACAAGAGTTGATGCCGAAGCTTGCACATTAACTCTTGGGTTACCTAAAGGCTACTGTCAGTCGTTGTGCACTTGTCTCTGTTAAGTGGCTGCCACTTGACTAATAATTGTGCTAGGAACTGTGACTTCAAACTTTACAACAATCTCACGCGAATTTAAATAATCCTAGCTTCTTCTCCGCTGAGGATTGACCCTATGTAGATATATATATACTATATATATATTATATATAATTATTATATATATATATATATAATATAATATATAATATATATATATATTATCAATATATTTAGAAAGAGAGATGAGAGAGAGAGAGAGAGAGAGTAAAGACTCCTATCAATTACTTTCAGCTTGATATCCACAAAACTTCCTTATCACTCATTTATTAATATGAAAAAGCATTTTTCATATCTCATGCAAGATCCCTAGACAATATGCAGTGCGCGCTAAAAAGTTGTGTAGTATATATATATATATATATATATATATATAATAATAATATTATATATTATATATATATATATATTATATATAGTATAAATTTTACATGTCATGCTGAACTGTTTGGCGCGATATAAGCCCTGTGACTCATTGAGTGTAACATATAGTTTGGCTATTCATTGTCAAAATTGATCAGTCAAAATTGTCATTGACTTCTTAGGTTTACATTGGCAATTGGTATGTCCATGTATCACCATTAGGCGATGTATGTTTTTGGCTGACTAACTGCTCTAATATCATTTGTCACGGCCCTAGCCCGTGAGTCCATATGCACAATGTGAGCCTGTTGGCGCGATGTAAGCCCTAAGACTAGTCAATGTTGCACTTGACTTCTTAAACATCATTAATTATCAACATATTAATAAAAATACAACGTGTTGATACAATCGATTAAATAAATAAATAAATAAACTATTCATGTCTAGGGTTTACAATATAAAGCATACTTATAAAGCAAAAGAAAGACAACAATCATGATAAATAACTTAAAAAATTATTTGTTGGCTATTACTCATAATAGCAAAAATACATGAGGAATAAAATATAGAAAAGATTGTTAAAAAAAATTGTACCTTTAGGTTTAGTGAATACACATTATCTCTAGAATTGTGAAAATAGCCTCGAAACTTAATGAAACTCTTGAATTTGGAGAAAATAGTGAATTTGGGGAAACAGCACGGGTTATAATGGGCCTATCCAGGTTATAAGTGCGGAATGTGGCCCGAAACAAGTCTCTTTTTTACAGCTTAGAAGAAAGCTAAAAAAGGGCTTGGTCCCGGCGATAAAAAAAAAAAACCCAAACAGCCCGCGACTTGAAGCGCGAATGGATCCCTCGAGCAGAAGCAAAACCTAGGGCAGGTGATCAACTCCATCGACAAAACCCTAGGCCTCCTCCATCAGCTCTACCTCACCGTCTCCTCCTTCAACTTCGCCTCCCAGCTCCCTCTCCCCCAGCGCCTGTAACGCTAATTCCACAGCCTCGAGAGATTTTCCCTACCGCTTGTTTTTTAGGGGTTCTTGATTTATTATTTTGGGGGTTTTTGTTTTGTTTATACAGGAATGCGCTGGTGGCGGAGCTCGATACGATGCAGAGGCTGTCAGAGGGCTGCAACATCCAGGTCCCGATGGAGGTGCTCAAGTGAGTGAGTGAGTTGAGTTTGAAATTGACGTTCGTTTGTTTTCTGATTTTTGTTTGATTTGGGGGTGGTTCTATTACAATCTTATAGTTTAATTGATGACGGGAAGAACCCCGACGAGTTTACCAAGGATGTGCTGAATAGCTGCATTGCTAAGAACCAGATTACTAAAGGAAAGACTGATGCTTTTAAGGTTGTTTCTCACTCCGAGTTAGGTTTTAGGGCATCCTGGTTAACTGATTTACTTACATTTGACAACTTCAAAATTTGTTTAGAGCTTGCGGAAACACCTTTTGGAGGAGCTAGAACAGACATTTCCTGATGAAGTGGAGGCTTATAGAGAAATAAGAGCAAGTTCTGCAGCTGTAAGTTATCGAGAACTATTATCCTTAATGAATTTTTAAATCTTAGGTGAAGAAACTCGTGCTATGTTAATGGTTGTTCTCAAAATAAAAATTCCTCCAAAATTTTGAATATCATAGGTATCAGATATATGGCCATGCAAAATTAGGAAATATTAATGCATGGGAAACAGGTGAACTACAGGGATGCACATTTTATTTTGTAACAATTTTCATTGAGATACATGTTCGATTTTGATTAAAACGCGTCTTTACAAACACAATCTAGTAAAACACAAAGTCCTTGTAAGTTTCTTCTTTATAATTTTTACTAAATCTAGAAACACATTCTCGGTGGAACCAAATGTATATATTGTATGTCTTGACTAGCATCTAGAAGCATGCCTTGCGTATTACCTGCTCAAACATGATCGGTTATTCTTTTTCTACATAGTCAATGTTTTTTCTTTTCATGCTCTACTTTTCATTTTTTGTATAATGATGGAACCATCTTTGGGAAAACCGGTGTTAAATGTAGTACCTCAAACAAATATCTTATTCTCTCGTTCTTCATCGTCTTGTTTTGTTTCTTTTAAAGCCATTCATTTTTATGATTTGAAATGGTGGTTGCTAGAAACTTGACATGGGGGTAAGAAATTGAGGAGTATAGGTGCTGTAGGATTGTGTTTGAAGTAGCAACAAGGGCCAATCTGGCTAGAGGAAGACCTAGACCTAGCTGTCTAAAGCAGCTAAGCAGAAAATTGTAGTTAACTTAAAATAGGTCATGGCAGTTGCCATAGCGGGATGGAGAAAAAAGACGTGTACTATAGCTAACTACAAATAAGGCTTTGTTGTATTGTTAACGTTGTGCCATATGCTAAGGATAACTATGAAGCCGTAGCTGAGCTATTCAGATAAACTTTATGAGTCCTCTCCTAATCATTTCTTTGAATGAAACGGCTTGCTTAAATACTTCTCAAAAATTCCATCTCAACGTAATCTTCCCCCTTGATTCGATCATCTTAGTTTTTAATCATCTTAGATAAGCTATTCATTCACTTCATCTGTTTGTTTTCAATTGATACTTTCTGGTGTCTTTTGCCATCCATCGTAATTTTCTACATTCATCTTGTTTGCTTAAATTTTCACCTCTGCTAAAAGGCGTGTTTCTAATGTTGCATTTATAGTCTTCTTGATTTTTTCTTTAGTGAGGGTATTCATTATTTATAATAGAGGCACAGAACTGCTCCATTTACCCACTTTTTGGTGAACTTAAATGTTAGTGTAATCTGATAAGAAGGCCGCCAATCATTAGTGCAAAATAAATGCATGGAATGGCTGCAGGTATATCTGTCCTTTAGCAAAATATAACTGCATTGGCAGTTTAATTTTTTTTTCATACCAAGCGGCCTCTAACTTTGTTGCAGACGGGGAAATATTTACATGGGTTCATGCATATTAACTTTAGTGAATTGCGATATTATTGAAGTTGTATATGACGACGTCTATGACTGAATTCAAAGGAGATCTCTGACCTAGAAAAGGATTCTGTATGATTCAATAAATACTCCACTTGTGTTTTTCTTTTTTCTTTACTTTGGTTTCCTAGAACTTCTTGTTATTCTTCGACAACAACACTAGTTTCCCCTCAAAACTTTGCAGGCATAACCTAATCTTTCATTCTGATTTCTGGTTAGCCAGCCATGAGACCTATCCCCATTGTAACTCCAATAGATTTAACCAATTAAAAGGTGAACTTGGGGTTGATGTACTGCTCTAAACTCCAAATTGGTTTCCAGGGTTCATCCGTTAGTTGAATTTGGTATCTCCTGATTTTTTTAGAGACTGTTGTCTGGAGTTGAGTTTAGGACTTCTGCAAGCTTTCCTGAACATTGCTAACGATTGTTTACTTCTTGCTAATTTTTATTTCCCTTCTAAAATAACGCAACATGGGAAACAAACTTAGAGGCCACCATCACTTACCAGATTGGCTACTTGATGATTATATGTTTCTAATTTAATACTCCAAGTAGTTAAATTAAGTATGAATGACGTCTTTTGCAATCTCTATATTAATTTCTCGTTGGTTTTAAATGTTGTCTATCTAGCTAATCGACTTCCCTGATCGCATGCAGGAATCGAAACAACTAGCTCAGGCGCAAAGTGGTTTACCCAATGGGGATGTGAAAGTAAAGCCAGAGCATTGACAAAGGAGTTAGTTATTTCCTCCCTTTTCCTTAATGTCTAAAATACATATTTGTGCAAATTAAGGATTTTATTATTTGTTTGTTATCTTCACAGGAGGCCCTTAGTGATATACTTTGCTTTAGAATGTAACATTCTCTTTTATGTAATTATTATCCTTAGTTCATTTCCACGGAATATTCTTGATGACAGAAAATATAATTCTATTAAAGTACTTTATGTACATGTATGCACTTTCTCAAGTAGTTTAAAATTTGATTTCTACCAGTAGGTATAGCATTATGTCTTTTGGTGTGGAACTTAATTTGGATAATGATTTTCAATTTGTTCAATGTTGGGTCATATCTTTAAGGCTTTTGGCACAATGTTACTCTCACGTTTGGCCATCGGGACAACGTAAAGGGAATTTATTACCCATCATGACCAGCGGTGTTTGTTTTTCAATTTATCTCGCTTTGGATAATAGTATGATTAATGAGGAATTATTTCATGATGATGCCACAAGATGATTTTAGTCATTATCGCTCAAGGAAGCCAGTGACATCTTTAAGAGAATTTTAGATAATTTGTATCGTTTCTCAAGAAGTAAAGAATAAGGTGCAGGGGTCTATAAGAAACCCCACAGAGACCGGAATAAGATATGAGGAAGGTTATCTTGGAAAACTAGTAGAAGCCACCCAAGTAGATGCTTTAAGCCCTTATCTTAACACGGATAAGGTGATCGAGATAGAGTGAAGTGACCCCGAAAGCTGAACTTTTTTGTTTGTTTGTTTTTTTGGGCTTATACCAGCCGAGTAAACACGGGGGTCTGGTGCTCCTCTTACACAGCCCAGGCCAAGGTGAATAGCACATAATGTTGCAATACCTAATAATTAGAAATTGGAGATAGGCATGTCATAAACACAAATCAACACAAATCGCTCCTTGGGCTTTTTGAGCCCAGGCCTCAAGCCACAACCACTTAGCCACTGGCAGGGGTGTAAGTTGGCTTAGGAGTATGTTTCCCATTGAATGCGGGTAATAAACAAATATGGTAGGTAAAGCTGAAGCCTGAAACATTTTAACACCATTGATTCTTATTCATTGTCTTTCACTAAAGGTTTTGCTGCCAAAGGACAATATTAATTTTCAGAATAAAGAGAATCCAATATATGGAACTGTGAATCCTGTGATACAGATTAATAACCTTTTCTTTTGCTTCTATTTAGGCTTTTGTCATCTTTTCTCCGGTATCCTACTTACTAATTGATAAATTACTCTAGAGAATAGCTGTGAGAATAAAGCAGAACAGAGCGCATAGAGGTCTTTGTTATGGAAATGGTGCTTACGTTGGGTTATGGATACAGCTGCTCAGTGTCCGGACGAGTTTGTCCTGCTTTCTGTGAGTTGGAATTATTTAATTATACATCAAATTTCACGTCCTAACTCCATTCTTTCAGACCTTTTTCTTATTATCAGTTCTCCACTTGGCATTTTCAGCTCATATGAGACGCATTTACTGGTAGAATAAAATTGCCACTAGCAAACTGATTGTTTATTTTTATTACAGGAATACGAGGTACTACTACTACTACTAATTTTTACGCAGATCCTAGGTGATCTGAATAGCTATTTACATCAGTTTCCGGGATTTATGCTGTCTGAGCCACAACATAAGATCACATAAAACTCTTTTCTTCACTCTTCTAGGTCTTGGTCTTTGGTCTGAAAATACAACAAATCTATTCATTCATAGGCCAAAATTCCCACCACTGTGAATTTGCACATGCTTGATCTGTAGGCCAACTGGGTTGATGAAAACAAAACTGCTGCTCAGATGGTACTAATGAGCCTCCGGTTGGCGGTCCGCTGAAGAAATCCTTCTCTTTCTCGCTGCACCTTGTGTGTCGATTCTCCTCATCGTCGTCCGAACTCATGAGTCTCATTTCTGTTTTCTCTGTCAGCATCAAATTTGGCCTTTGATCTGCTTTCTCTTGGTCGCTCTCGTTCCCCCTTTCCTCCATTGGCTTCTCCAGCAGCTCTGCTAGTTTCTGCAACTGCGGGGATCATAACAGAGGAGTACTTTGCTGGTTGAGGTCTCTAGACTATACATTTGGAATCTGAATATTATCCGAGGAGGGCGGTAAATGTATGTTTACCTGTTTAGCGAGCAGTTGTTTCTCGTGCTTGAGGGATTCGAAATTGGAGAGCAGGGCGTCATAATCGGCCCTCAGAGCAGCGTACTGTCTCTCAAGCTGCTTTGACTTCCATCTTGCTCTCTTGTTCTGAAACCATATAGCAACTTGCCTCGGGTGCAACCCGAGCTCCTTTGCGAGCTGCAGCTTCTTTCTTGGTTCAAGCTTGGTCTGCGTCTCGAACATGAGCTCTAGTGACTTCACCTGCTCCTCACTGAACCTCCTCTTCTTATCATTTGCGTTGCCCTTCTTGGTGGAGAGAGGATCCATCCACATGAAGCCATCTGCTTCTTCTGTAGCCGAGTAATCTTCACTCTCCACCATCTTTTTTCTTTTCCCCTTCTGTTGGGGTATGATCACCTTGAGCTTTCTTTTATGTTGTTTTATTGGAGGGGAGGGAGCTGGATTCTAGTCTCTCTCTCTCTCTCTCTCTCTCTCTCTCTCTGCCTTGAGAATTGCGGCTGATTGCTCTTTTCTTTTCTGAAAACTTTTGCACACCAACTCTTGAGCAGAAGATATAGACCTGCTTTTTGAAACGAAAAAGAAGGGAGGGGAAGAGAGAGAGAGAGAGAGAGGGAGAGATGTGCTGCGGTGCACGCCTGTTACGTTGATTGTAGAGGAGGGTGATAGCAACGGGCTGGCCAATGACAGCGGTTGTCGTGGAAAACTCAGCTTCTTTCTGGATAGCCCTCCATCGCAAACAGGCAGCTGATTGTTGCTTGCTGCTTCGGTCTTCGGCTCGCTGTCTACGTATCCCCTCTCTACCCCCCCTCCCTCCTTGTTTCCTCTTG